CGTACTTCAAAGTAGTAAGGACAGCAGTTTTAAAAAGGTGAGCGCGGAGCCGGATGTTCTTTGTCTTCTTCACTTCTCCCTCGATATTCTCTAATGCTGCCCACGTGGCGCGTTTCCTTCTGCACAGCTCCGGAGCTAGGTCTTTCACCTTGCTGACTCCCCAACCTAGATACACATAGCTAGAGCATTCGGAGATATTCGCTCCGTTTAGCGTGAAGGGAGCATCTGGTACCAATCCGTTATCATAAAAACAAACAGGTTTATCGTAGAGAACTAGAAACATTACTCAAAGAGTCGAATCAAAAAGTTACAATCTGTGAAAACTTGAGAAGATACCTCTTCCTCAGCTCCTAATCAAACTCGACTCCAAAACAAAACAGCGTCTGCTGCTGTGATACACATAACGGCGAAGATAATTGTACACAATAAAAAAACAGATTTACTAGAGCGGTGGAAGAGAAATTGGCTGGAGCGTTTTATGTTTCTATGCAACCTGACGCACGGTGTTATTTCGCGCCTGACACCGCGCTCCGTCTTGAAATAATATCGTTCCACAGCTGGGTGTAGGTGACGGACTTAAACGGGACATCAGGTATCCACGGATGATGTACTGCGGTTCTATCGAAGATACTGCCTCCAATTCCAATTTATTGCGCTGCGAACGCAACAAGTCCAGCTAAACTTTCCATATTAGGAGGGAGAACTTCCATGAATAGCTACTTCATGAATTATTTTACTTTGCTCATATCTATTAAAACATAATTCAGTACAATGAAGATAAGGAAATTGCATTTCATATAACTCAATGTTCTTACACAACCTTAATCTTTTAGTTTGGGAAGTAAAACAAGCTATGAATCTGTATAATACTCAATTATTAGCAGACACTTAATAATAAAATTTTTGACCGTAATTATCTCTTATCCTAGAATAACTTCTAGCACACATTTTTTTTAACAAGTTCATTAAAAAAAAGGAACCTCCGCGACGACTTCATCCTCTCCCAATCCGTTAGCCCTTCGACGAATTTTTACTATTTTCATGAAATCGCGATTGGTCAAGTGTATAAATTGTTCTCGTGTAATGGGTAAACTAGGAACATCCGACGGTTTGAGTCTAAACGATACCACGATTTTTTATGGACAGCTTTTCCGAAATTGTAACAACTTCTTAGTTATAAGATATCCAAGCATACCCCAGCCACTGGATTTGTTTCACATTACATCCTCTTCCTTCTCTACGTTCTGTTATGGAGCCATATTTGAAAGTTAACATTATCTCAATGCCTAAAAGTGGTTGCATAAAAAATTTTAAAAAAAGATTGACCGCGTACTTTACCATGAGGGTCGCTGTCAAATAAACCGTACACAGGCACATTCAGCTTTTCAACAAGCCACCTCAACACCTTGCGCGTACATATATCTGGGTATCCTTTTCCCTAGAAAAAAAAGTATAAACCATCTTTCCTTCTTCAATTGCTATTCGTTGGTTAGGGCAAAATGAAATGTGGGTTGAAATGAGAACAAAATCATCTAAAAGCGAGACCAACTACACCCAAACTTGACCAAAACGAAAAGTCAGGACAAAAATCCGCTCTTTATTGTAACCCGGCTAGGGGCTCTGTCCCAAAGGGTGGCGGTATTTCCACTCTCACGATAAGTGTTAGTGGTTTTGCGGCAATCTTTGCAATCTTCCACGGTAAACTCGGATATTATTCAATTTATTTTTCAATTTCCGTTCAAATGATTCAATTCAATGGCGTGGGTGAGTGGTACTGCTCATTGGTGTGCTGCATCAAAGCCAGGAGCTAGAGGCATGACCCGGAGAGCCTTCTAGTATGCGAATATTACAGTCGGCTTCACCTTCGTTACTTAATTAACTCTACAATGGCCCACCAATCTCCTCCTATTCGACATGCACTCCTTTACGAGTTCGAGTCCAGCTACCCTACTGCTGGTGCTCATTAAAACCTGCATCATAGATTCGGCCGTAAATCCTCTTCTGAATTTCCCAGGTCTCCCAACGCTTCAAAACCCAGAACTCAAATTAAAGAGGTCGAAAATGAAGCTGGAGCTAGTCACTGACACAGTAACACTGAACCTGGTTCTTACAATGGAATAAATTGTGATTGTTGCGAGAGTCACAGAGAACATTTTTTATCTCTAGGCATAACCTTGATGGATACCAAATCTTGACCAACCTGATATACGAGTCAACAGAAGAGGACCTCAGGCAAAGACGCAGGGCAGGTAGAATGAACGGTTACCGCGTTACGCTGTATTGTTACGCGATCTAGTTAGAACCCTCAGCTGGATAACCGTATAACCAACTTCCCGTACTGAACTTTCTTTCCCACTGACAACTTTATCATGAAACCTGAGGATATGTCATGCGCATACAAAAGAGTTGTGCCCTTTTAAAGCATGACTATGGAAACCAGAGCGGTAAAACTGGCTTACTGTGAAATTGCTGATCGGTTCATACTTCCCGAACACCTGAATAGTGAAGCAGCGGAAACTTACTGTTACTAGGAGACTCTTTGGAAAGGCCGCAAAGTAACCTTCATCAATCAACTTCTGGAATATAGCGTCTTTTTCCACAACAACGATAAATTGGACATCACTAATAACACGGAAGTTTGTCAGAGATTCTGTAAAGTTGCAGTTTTGAATTTGAGCTTCTCCAACTACTGTTGGAATTACGACACTAAATTAGTAGCACATGGAAGACCACGAAACTCACCGGAAATCAACACTTGTTGATCACGGCAATCAACCAATTTCTGCTCGTTGGTCATAAATGTAAGTGCACCAGACAGCATCCCTTTACTACTGGAAATCTACAAATGATTTTCACTACTAAGAAAGCGAAGATGAAAGCGTGGCAGTTACAGTTATTTTACTTTTTGCTTAAGCACTAAACCATTCCATTGTAGCAGTACTGCCCACGATGGATACCCTTAACCTAAGGGTTCGGAAAACTGAGCACCCTAAAAGGGGTAAGAAGTTTTACGGCTGTAAATATGGTTACAAATGATCGCGCGCTGTGAAGGATAATATTCGAGTACCCAGAGGAAGATTGAGTCGCGGAACCACTGCCGGAACACACTCGGGTTCAAGAACCACACTCCACTCTCACATGCCTACCGTTCTGTATCGATAATGAAGTCAGGGACATAAATATTCCAATTCCAAAGAGATTCGCGAAACAGCTAACCACAGAACTATAACGAATTTTCTGCAGCAGTGCGTTCACACCCTCGGTAGTTAAGCGGCAAGTCAATTCTGGTTTCCTGGACTGGGATACCTTCGTGCAATAAATCGACTTCAAATTCCGACTACAGATTTTTCATGCTCATAAATGCTTTTCTGCTAGAATGACAGCAGAAATTCCTTCTCCTTCACAATTTGGCATCACTGAACAGTTATCGTCATGAGGCCAACCTGGCAGGCTGTAGTAGCTGCTTATACAAATGGGGCTATCAGTTCATCATTGAAGGTATGTCAAGGATAATTGTACATACATTTCCAATACCGACACCTCATTCAGATAATGAAATATTCTTTTGTTTATTCAAGAAGAATAATAGTCTTGTTACTAATAGTGAGATCATTATTACAAGAAGTGAACCCGATAAACCTTGTAAAACTCACAACATTCAGCGCGATTCGTGGTTCGTCAAGGAAATCACATAATGCAGTGATTGTTCTATTGAGATTCGCCTGAGTTCTGTAGAGCACTTTTCGTTCATAGTACAAATCGCTGAAATTGGGATATGAACCTATCTATAAAATAAGAAGAATTGTAAAAAACATGTTTGCCATATGCAAAAAAAACCCTTTCCTCAGACTTGTGTTGGATGCTATGGCATCGAGAAAGAGGGAACGAACCGTTTTGTCGACTGCTGTTCGTTGATTATAAGACGGTAAATTTGGGCAAGACATTGCATAAAATGAGCAAATCTCAGACCCCTCGTGGAAGATATTACAATCTGCTTATTGGCGTCATCTTCGTCTCTGAAGAATACATCCGTTATTGCATTTCCAATAGGGTTTTGTACGAAAGCATGAATGATGCTAAATTGGAGAGAAGAAACCAAAAGGAAATGCTGAAACTGATACCAACGTTCTGAGTACCAATCGAGAAGGCAGATCTGTCGACGACAGCTGTCTAATCAAATCGAGACAGACGAACTCAATTTTACGAAGAACGGTGCTTTCCTTGAGAGCTTTACTGTCTCCATTTAGGTTTACGATAGACAGATTGGAGGGCGACATCTGAAAAGCTGATTCAGACCCGGTTAGAACGATTCAATGCAGACTTTATGATAGCCGAGAATAGGGCCACGCGCGAATGCGACACAAAAACTTACGCGCGCGGTGGATCGATGTCACGGAAGTGTCGCTGGGTCATTTCAAATTTGACAGGGTCAAGAGTTCCAACTAATTTATTTGTTTAAGCTCTTTCGCTTATCGCCGCTCTTCCTGCACAGTTCACAATAATTTTGAGTCATCTAGTTTCAGACGAGTAATGCATGTGATAGTTCAGAACAGTGCAAAAAGGTGAAAATAACACGAAATTCGGCGCATTTCGAGAATCCTAATTGTAAGACTTCAAAAAAGAAGTAGAATTAGGGGCTGGACGAGAACGTTACGAAAAGGTGTGTGGAAGAGGTTTTCGAACGAGCTGTTTAGATGCGCGCGTCATTGCATATAGCTGAGTGCAATACGCTGCCTGCTTCCACGGTCTGGGTCTCGGTGCGAATGGTACAACCTCTACAGCTTCTACAACGCTTATGAACTCGTTCGTCTTGGGTGTGTACATCGGCTAAATCGGTTTCTGGCGGGGGGAGTGGGGGGGGGGACCTTAGTATGGCCTATCTTGTCCGTTTTTCGACCCAACAGCGTCCCTTAGGTTATCTGGTTCGTCCTTTGGAGAAATTGCAGAAACCATTTTTAACTCGAACAGGGCTTTTGAATCGTGTTTAATCTCAACATGGTTTAATGCGATGCATCTGTTCACCACTCATCGCTTGGTTCTGGACATCGTCTCGAGAAGGGGTAGAAAGCCATAAAAACCGAACCGCGCCTAAATCTGAGGAAAGGAAATTAACCAACGAGTTCTTGGTGGGCAGGATAGGTCTAACCCGGTTAGCTTTCCAATCGATCAATCCTAATCATGATTGGAACAATCACGAATAAACGACACAATGGCGTTTTTCTTATAAACGGGACCTGATCTACCATTTGGTTGCCCTCCCACAACTTTTGATGGAGTTTTCTACGTTAGTCCCATTCAGAAAAAGCGTGGGTCCTACCAGCGTTAAGTGAACCTTCTGCAGACTGTGTAAGTAGTATGAGTGGTTCTGTTCCTGAGGTTTCCACACGAACGTTACCCCTCATATTTTGTTGGTTAACAAAGGTTAGTCGAGGTGGCGTTTTGCGAAACTTGCCTTCTGGCACACAATTTCCTCACGCCAAGGAACCAGTTGGCCCAGCCGGTGTTTACTTCGCCATTGTCGTTCTTGCTAAAAACTCGCTCTTCCACAGTATACCACCTGGCCTGGAAGAAACCCTACCTGGAAGTGGGTTTTCATAGGGGAGCATGTACTCCGGGTATGTTCGTGCGCCAATCTTGGATATGCTTCCGGTTTTTGGGAGCGACTCTCTGAACCAGCTGTGATGGAGTCTTCGCTCTTTTTTATCCCAGGGAGCACTGCCTGCATATATGTATGTCCCCGTAATCGAAGGTAAACTGTCGCGAAAAGTGCCCTAATAGTTCATGAGACGGGCTTGTTGAATTGGTGTCAGGTGGTTGCGTTCCCTTGCCCTTCGTCATGCTTTCGTTGCGATTCGGGAATAGACTAGCATGGCTAGAATGCAACTTGCTTTCCAAGGGATTTGAGGAAGTTCCATTTGGTTTTTTGAAGTGAAATTCTCTCCCCTCGGTCCCTCGCAACGGTGCACTCAAAAGAGTGCTCGAGCACTTTTATTCCCGACATGACGCTCTACACACACCCACAGAATCGATCACCTCTCGCAGAGCTATTATTACTGAATGCACGTTGCCATTGCCACATCGCAAATCCTGAAGGTAGCTATTGACCACACCGAGGTAGTCTTAAGTAGGTACGGGTCGCTCCAGCCAGCTCTTATAGTTTGTTCGATATGGGATCAAGCTCCGATATCTTCGAGCAGTATCTGGTTTTGTGCGCTCTTTGCGACATAGCCGGTCTTTGATGTGCATGCAAGGGGGTATAGTCCCATAAACACGCACGTATCTTAATGAAGAAACTCGTCCGCATTTTTCTGAGTTGATGGGTCACGGAAGACAACTGAAGCAGTTCCTAGACAAGTTGCTTAGCTAAAAATTTGCATGGTAGCTCAGGATGTCATCTAGCTCACTTCGTTTACGTGCCTTTTCAAAACTTAGAAGGAGCTGTTTCCAGACTGTACAAGTATGGCGATTCTATTATACAGCAGCACTCGAATGCCAACACATTCTATCTTTAGAGTAAATAGAGTGGTTCGTCTTGTTTGAGTACCGCTGGAAATGAAAATGAAAAAATAAAAAAAATTTCAAAAAATGAAAAAAGTGAAAATCGTCTACCGAAGTTGCATGAAGCGATATTTGGACGAGCTGTTCAAATGCGCGCGCCATTGTGTACAGCTGTGTGCAGTAAGCTGCCTGCGTGCAAGGTGCGGGTCCCGGGTGGAATGGTGTAACTTTTAGAGCATTGCGACGCTCAAGAACTCGTCTGCCTTGAAAGCGTATGTTGGCTAAGCCCTTATAACGTCTTAGCTTGGCCGTTTTCCGACGACAGCCTCCATAAGGCTCTTTGGGTGTTACGGGGGACGGAACATACACCCTACTCTAGATGGACGCGGCAAGCTGCGCGGCGAAAATCATTGTGATTCAAACGATTTTGGCGCCTATCTTTGGGGCACAAAATTGAAATGGGGTAGATAAGTAGCATAAGCCGGCCCTAGTTATCCAATCTACTTGAAACCTGAGACCCAATGGTAGGCACCAGAACCGTTTTAATCACCATGAATTTCGCCACGTCCATCCAGAACTGGGTGAATGTACCCATAGGTGTACCCACGGGTGTCACAGGTTCATAAATAGGAGAAATCTTACTAATCACTTCATCGGTAAATGTCCCTTTAATGACGTAGAACTCAAATAAGAACCATGATCGACTTTCTCTTAATCTTGGCATGAGCTAGACTTTTAATTATGCTGATTCAAGTCTTACCAAGGTTTTACAACTTTATGCAGCTAACGTTTCGGCTTCTTGACCTTCTTCAAAGCCTGAAAGTCGGAAGACTGATTAGGAATGATCCTCACGTAAGGTTAGACAGCACTCAAGACAATCCTCAGTAATCACTTGCTTTGCAATGGCGAAGACGAAAAGCTCATAGGTTTCTGACACACAAAGACAGATCACTGTCAAATGAGGACTGCTGATGGTCACTGCCTAAACCGAACCTACTAACTCATGGGCTTTGTTCCATTCCTGAAATAAACAACACCTTCCTCCCTATCTCGCTCTCTTTAACGCCCAAGTTACTTTCCCAGAGATTGGTGCTTGGCCTTACAACGAACAATCGAAACAGTTTGGCTAGTCACGGTGCAAAACCATACATGAAATAGCAAAACTCGTCCCCTAATCATCTCAGGTGTCCATTCAGGCAACTAGCAGTTGTGTGCCTTGTTGAAGGATTTAAAACAACAAAGCAGTCTTCAAATAACCGACTCTCTATTAATCTCGGCATAATGCAAGTGTGTTTGACGTGAGGTAACTCAGCCTCTGAGATTGATAAGAACTTCTATATCTCCGTTCCTTCGTCACTACGACAGAACTGCTTTTCGACTTCAGGAGAAGAGTAAGTGGACGAAGCGTTAATGTCAGGCGGTAGAGGCGGCACTAGCACAGCAACTAACTTGATATGCTGGTATCATTAACTCATATTACTTGATCCTATGACTCCTAATGAGGGCACCATGGCCGACTGGTGCGGTTACTGGCTATATGGGCATCTTCGTTGCACCCACTATCATTGCAGCTTCTGGAGATTGGTATCTACCGGTGTTTCTGCCCTCTCTTCCTCTCTAATCTCACTTCATACAGTGGCGGCAGATGGTTCATTTGCTACTAGTTGTGGCGCAGTCAGTGGAGTGTTTATAAAAATAAAATAAAGAAAAATACTACAATATGTGTGTTCATACAGCGTCGAGCCAATCGAAATACATGCAAATTATGGCATGTAATCTACCTATCTCATGTATGGAACTGAAGATCAGCATGGTCACTGATTATGCTGGAATAAACCGTACAATTTGAGCAGTAAATGTAATGCGTGGCGTAAGGTAGGGTATGATGTATGATATGATGTATATGCATGCAAAAAGGAGTGATAGTGATATCCCAATGATCCTATGGTAGATGGACTGCTGCAGGGCGAATGTGGTCCTGAAAAGCTTCAGAGATTTCCATCTCCCCATTGCATGGCACGAGCGCTACCAAATCCTTGTTTCCAAGGTCGTAGATGCTGCGCCCTTCGAAAACTGTGTGGTGTAGTTTTTATGACTAATCCCGCAATAAGGAACAGCTGCTGTAGCCTTTTCGATAGTCGAGGGACTCAAAGGTAACGTAGTAGGTAGGGACGCGAAGAGGTAGCTGCCGCGTACCTAATGTATTCTCCTGTACCGTGTGCTCGCTAGATGTGCGGTCTCGCCTGATTCTTTTCGACTCAGCTGTAAATAAGTATATAAATATTAAGTTAGTATTATTCGTGCATGTGAGGTTGTGCTTAATCAAAATTCGAGCTCCACTGAATCGTAGAAAGCCTCGAAACAGCAGCATGACTAGTGCTGTAGTGGAGTAGGCCTTTGGGTCTTCAGATACTAGTCCCAGATGTACGGTTTTACTATAATCCTCCAGTGTTATCTCGTTTCTATGATTAATAGGAGTTCTATTTCGGAAAGCACTATCCAACAGACTTCCATTTTCCTATCTGTCCCCCCTCTGCTTTCCAAGAAGCTCAAGAATGCCGCAATTATGGGAAGGGATATATGGCTCCGGCTCTCGTTAATGCAGTGCGCGAAAAAAAGATTTCGTTCTTTAGGGTTAGACACGTTTTTGAAATGCATGCTGCCCACTCATGATGAATTTCCGAGATTCTGTGAGTACTCGTGAACGTGGCATTCGAATAGTGAATGTCAAGTGGCTAAGGGTAGGGTGGGTGGGGTCAACTCGTTAACAGGGAGAAACCTAAACTGGAGATCGCTGTAGAGCGTCTTGACATCTGAACATCAATGTCTTCATATGACCACTTATCATAGATCAAACATCGATGTCTTCATATGACCACTTACCGTAGATCACATGGTCGTACCATCTACTCGCCCCATGAGGACGTTGTGAAAGCTGAGGCGCGCCAACTCAGTTACGACTGAGATAATTTCAGGTACGACTGAGATCACTTCGCGTCTAGGTGCGAAGTGACCTCAATCGTAACTAGCCTTATCCTAATCACGCGCCTCTCCTCAATAGTACCTAACCTCATTTTAGTTATGATGGTGATGGCGAATAATGAGCAGAGCATGAAGCCTAACGATTACCCCTCAGAGCAGACATAGCCCCATTTATCCCCCTCAAAGGAGGGCACAATCAGGCCTAAACTTTTGGCGGGAAAATCTTCAAATTTTACGCACGGTAGGACGCCAGGGGGCGGGCAGCAAGCGAACGCGGCGTCGCCATCGATTAGCGTCTGCCGATGCCGAAAGGCCATCCACTGGCATCACGTAAAACTCTTAAAAACTTCCTCATTGATCCCTAATTGTGTTGCGTCTTGAGTCGATTCCCATTATTTTCACATCTATTCTGAAGTGTAAGTCAGAATTTCTGACTTTCATTTGTGCAATATGGCGACAGAAATGAGAGCTGCAGCATTGAATGTCTGTGCCCTGACTGCACTGCTCTCTGATTTATGGAAGAATTTACCAACAAAACCTTTCATTTTGCTTAATTGTTCAGCGTTTGGAAATCAGAGAATCGCTTTCTGCTATCAATCTTCATCCTGCCCAACAGCTTTGAATTGAGTGGCATAGTCATAGTGGGTAGTGGCCCAAGACAGCCTGGGTATTACTGACATCGGTCGGCACTTTCACTTCCTTATTTCTGTTGCACGCTAGAATGTGCGCTCGGGCAAAACCAAAGAAAATAAATAATTGCTTTACAAAACATCTTCGAGTCATGGGAAAATACCTAGTTTCGCTATCGTTCTCGAAATTTCTCTTTTACTCCGTCTAAGCTTACTTGTTCATTGGTGTGGTAATCTGAATGATGTCTCCAAATGATAAATCTGCGATACACTGACCAGTTTCACTAGCATATCTTCTTCAGATAGCTGCTTTTTGACTAAATGTCGCCGAGAGTGAAAGAACAAATCAAAAAGGAAGAACCTGCCAAAGAACAGGAAAAGAAGGAGGGAACCAGTGATGAAAGTAAGTCATAATTTGTGTTACAACAGTTCCTCATTAACCTGCTTGACCTCTTCGTTACTTGTTCATGGGTGAGATCAATTGAGTAGGTAGTGAGAGATGTTTTCATCTTAGGTTACTATATTACCAACTTCATCATTGACAACTTTATCTCATTTAGTATCAAGCTATATGTTTCCCTCCGCAAAAATCCGTATTCATCAAAGCATCAAGTAGTTGATGGCCACTTGACCTTTTGAAAATACCTGTTCTGGCAAATCAGGAAGACCACAGAAGTGTATTGCCGACGCGACAGCGTCAGTACCTTCGCTGGAACTCCTATTCCAGTTTGTATACAGAGTAGTTGCTGCTCGCTATGGACAGTTGTTCTAACGTGTGACCCTTTCCTTCATGCTTACTCCGTTTCTTCCCTCTTAGTTCTGTTCTGGAATTAAACAGTCTTTGGCTCTACTGCCGAACCACGATTTTTTTCTTTTCCTTGTGAACTCCCTACGGGCCGTTTCGCTAAATTGACTATGCAGTTTTCACTCTTTTCTATCTCCTATTTGTCGCCAATTCCTATGCTCCTTTTTTTCTTCTGCTCTTCCATCTACATTTTTTACGAACACGAACCTTTTCCGCCGCTTCGAGGAAGATTGGTTTTTGCAACCGCAATAACTGGATATATTAGCAGCTTTCCAGTTGAAAGTTCTTTGTCCATCCGTAAAGGTGTTTTGGATGTGTATTTGGTCTTTGCAATGGCTCGCGGTATCGTGCTAATGCATGCACAAGTCCGTGCTTTCATTCTTCCGGACGAGTCTGGTGCCAGTTAACCGGCGCCGGGGGAGCGGAAGTCCTGGTTGGCTTTGCTCACGGGAAAACACTACTGTGAGAGCAAGTTCTGCTTTCTTGAGATGTTCAACGATTGGAATTGTTGGAGAAAACTTTACCTATCCCTTCATTTTTGAATCGATTTATTTTCGAGGTCTGAAGGTTCCGTTCAAGACAGAAAATGCACCGATATTTCAGAACAGTTTCAAATACCAGTGCCCTCTTAAGAAACCTTCGCGAGGTGGAATCTTTGTTTTTGTAGCTGGATGTACGAGAGAATTGGGGTGGGCCTAACTTCAGGGCGCAGCATCGAATAAAGCAATGTCTTCATACCTATCATTTCGCCCAAAATTTTGATGGTTCACCTGCGAGCCGGTTGCGTGGCGCATTTTAGTCAGGACTGCCAACCCTTCAGCTCTTCGCTTTCTGTTCATTAAAAGTTGATTATGTAAAAGTTTTGTGAAGTTCTGGACTTACACCGTTTACCACCACTTAGGGACCAGCAGGAGCCGACGTTTTAAATTGCGCGAATGTGTCCTTGAAGAATTTGCAACGTAAATATTTCTATATTTTGCGATTCATGAATTTCGCAAAAAGTCAAGGAAGCACCAGCTTACCAACAAAGCCGCGCTTTTACGGCGCAACAGTATAATAATATTACTTGAACGATTTTTCTTATTTTAAAAGGGTTTACCAAACGTAGATTGAACCTGAAAAGAAACAGTGGACGTGGATACATTTAGCGGAGCAGTCGTACAGTGTGGAGAAGATTTTGGCTTCGAGGAAAAGGGCTGGTCGTCGCGAGTACTTGATCAAATGGGAAGGATATCCTGACGAAGAAGCCACGTGGGAAGCTGAGTGTGACTGTGTGAGTTGTCAGTGATTTTGTCGGAGCGGGTTGCATCAGACAGTGCCCTCCCTCCCTCCCGTTGCTTGTATTAGATGGCGCCCTTTTAGTTTGCTTTGCCCAGAAGTTATATTTACAGGACTGCCCGGATGCGATCGCGGAGTTCAATCGAAATACACCCAGTCGGTAAGGCAAAAGTTTCTTCTCAGCATAGGTGGATTTTTTGTGTATGTAGTCAATTTTTCAATTCGATTCTTATTTCATTTGATTACGTACTCTTCAGGGCACGTGGTGGCAAAGATGTGAGCACCGTCATGATTGGAGAAGAGGTTAGTGTGAGTACTTTTGATAGTGGTGGTGCGATACCATACACAGTTTTGTATCTTTTCGATTCTTAAGATTATATCTTTTTGCCTGAAAGCTCAAATTTATGTTTAAACATGACAGTGGTTCTATCAGAAAAAAGTGCAGTGAAATGGTTCAAGCAGTTGTTGACCGCTTATCGATGAATAATGCTTCCGGCGAGTGGGTCTCTGATGTTTTCAGCCGCTCACTAGTGTTTTTCTCTTGACTTGCTTAGTATAAGGTGATGGTACGAATCTGTTGTTGTCCTACTTTTGATGGCAAAGTTGCGAAAGCCACATGCCCTGTGTGCCTCGTTTACTCAGATTTTCATTGCCCGTAGAATGACAAAGAAGCTTATTGCCCTTGCTGCTGTGTTCACATTGTTTACAAATACAAAATTTTTGACGAAAAGAATTTGATGTGGCGGAACTTTCTTGACATGGCATGCCGTTTTTTTTTTCTTGCCACTCGGCGGTCTATCTTGCAGAAAAGAACAATGGAAACTAATAATAAAGTCGCGTTCTATTAAAATTGAAGGACTCGACGAGGGCAATAGGAAGGCTTATCGAGACGCACGAGAGCGAAATAATTCAATAGCTCTAGGACTTCCTGAATTCGCACGTATCAGAACCGAATAGCATAGGGAGGTGAAAGATGTTTTGAGTGCGTGTCATTGACTTTGACGTGTGGAAGTTCAAAAATTTTGATACAATCGGGTTTACGTCTGTTCTGGCAAGGGTTGCACGATTAAAATTGTTCTGTGTCGGTAAAAACACGCGTTGTACTCTTGAGTAGTTGTTCGCTTCTGCAATTTGCGCACAGAAGGCGAGATTGTAATAAAGGTGCTATCGATTATCTTCAATCGACTTATAAGAATCAAAGTAATGGGCTTGATAATTGAAGAAGAAACATTAAGCCTTCATCAACAAAGTCGTGATTTTAACTGTGTTCTCGTTCTGAATATTTCCTACGCATCGGTTTTCCAGACTCCAAAACAGTCAAGGGGTGCTAGAAGAGCAACTATGTCGGAAACAAAAGGAATCGAAGTGGTAAGACATTATGATGTTAAGTTAGTTCCTTTGTCAAATGGATATTTCTTTAGCCAAAACGAGGCAGGCGTCGAACTATTTCGAACAATGAGGGCGAGACATCGGCAAAAAAGGTGGGTTGTCGTGTTCAATTACAGTGGAATTACAGGGATGAGAGCCACTAGCTACATTTAACTTTACCGATACTCGGAGGGTGCCCTGTAATATCGATAGTGATGTTTGGGACGAAAAAGCAATCAAAACTACGTTTTACAGACAAAAGTCGCTTCTGAAAAACCAAAGAAGGAAGAGCCCGACCATAATGCAAGTGCAACTCAAAATGGAGTGAGATGTAAGCTGTTCTCAAAGTTGTGTAGTGCTTTATAGTAGCTGTTAAAATTATTATTATTGGTTTGTTGTTTATTATTATTACTGTGATTATTGCCATTGCTATATGCTATTGTCGTTGTTGCCGTTGTTGTTGTTGATGTTGATGTTGCTCAGCCATGTTGTCTTTTAGCACGTCGATCCCTGGATAACAACGACAAGAGCAGTGCACCGCAGAAAAGGCGCTCTTTAAAAGATCGCATTAAATCGGAATTCTCTGAACGAGGTAAACGAATCTTTGCCGTTTACAAAATGGGAATTGGACGTGTCTTTTTCCAGGTGCGTCCTATGAAAGTGATGAGGGCTCCGTTCGCGCCCGCTTTCTGAAGACTAAGCAAATAAAAGAGGACGTTAATTCGAGCACCGAATCCTCATCGTGTATGCTATCTGTTTTGAACGTTTGAATTATTTAATCAATTTGTACTTTTGTATCGATGAATATCGCAAAATATTTCGTTGCGATTTTCCTTTGCTCAGTTACCTTTTTATGACATTTTGAATTCAATAGCAAATATGTATCACTGTGAATCCGAAAATGGCAAGAATGGCAACCAATTCGTGCCGATTACTTCATATATTTTGTATGGTTTTCATATTCAATACACATATGTTTCATATTATTGCGTAGTATTCATACACATATTATTGCGAAGTTGAACTCTTTTCCTGTAGTTTATTTCCTTGTAACTTTTCAGATTCAACTGATCGAGTTTACAAACTTCAACAAGGGAGAGAGATAGAAAACATCCTAGGAGTTAATAGAGATGGATCTCGCCTTCTGTACGCCGTCCAATACAAAGGGTCGGAACCGAAGCATCAAAGAATAGAACTAGTCCCGTCCAGTGTACTAAGAAGCCATGCTATTGAGGTTTGTGAATTCATAACTTCTTAGTACTCTTTCAACCTTAGTCCAAAATCTCCATCTGTGAACATTTCTGCTAACGTTTGCTTTTTTTCGAACCTGAGGGCGTTCTGGTAGGAGCAGTGTAAGTGTGAAGTTCACATTGCTCCACTCTTCGCTGCACGGCTGATTTATTTAGTATGCCTATCCGATCTTGCTTTCGTCCCATGGGTTAATATTAGGCGACACGGGATGCATTCCGGACAAATGCGATTATGTGTGATTCTTCGGGGTCCCAACAGGGGAGAACAGGAACATTCGCCTTTTGTCGGTTTGCTTTTTTCACAAAGCTTTAAGGGGGCGATTGACTCATCTTGGTCTTTCGACCGAAAAAGGGCATCTGTATTACAAGGCTTCGTGACATCTTCGTACCAGTGTAACGCAATCCTCAAACACGGAATATCAGCCCAAGCGCACCACTAACAGCTTGGTGCCCGATGAGCAAAGAAAACAAAAAGCGAAGGGCGTCTCGGAGTATATTTCTCCTCTGAATGTTTCATTTTACGGTTTAGAGCTTTCTTGGCCTTTCAAGTATCTGCTTTACTTCGCTGTTCTTTTATTGATATGATGATAGCTTATAAATTGAATCTTGATAGTTTGCATCAAATATGATCATAGTTTCGGAGATTCTTCTGAGGTTTGGTGTTTGTGTTTGGCATTGATAAAATGCATGGATCATGACATGAAACTATGTGAAAAAGGAGGAGCAGAACCGGTATTTGGGAGCGTTTAGAAGTGTTAAGCTCTGGCATGAATCATCAGGTTGTGAAATGTCGACTGACGCCTTCTGCTCTTCGGTTTTTACTTTTCGATTGGATCAGCCGTTGGCTAATATAATTCGATTTTTGCCAGTGAATCGCTGTATTGCATGTTGATAGTAGTTGAATCTTAGGCAGGTACTTGAGAATCCGCTTGAATGTGAATCAGGGGTGTTATGGGAAAGTCGATAAAAGGGCATGGGGTGGTGCAGTTGAATCGAAACAGTCGCTCGGCGGCGAGAGCGACTTCGCGCGCGAAGGAATTTAGTGGAATGAAGCAGAAGCAGCAGAGCGTGGAAGGACTAAAGGAACAAAAGAATTAACAGTAGGATCATGCCAAAGATACTAACTGCGTATGGCTTTAGTTAAGTGAAAAATGTTAAATCTGAAATAACGAGGCAACTAGCCAGCGGCAGCCGCGTGCGGCAAAAGATTTCAAGAGCCGATCCAACTGTCCGTTTCCCGAAGAGTGAGAACGCCTCGGTAACTCAGTTGTTTTCAGGAATTTGTCGACTTTTTGGAACAACTTGTCGTTGCAAATACAACTCATGTCGATGTCTAAAGACGATGAAGACACTGTACTATTTGCAATGCCTTTGTAAACCGCCACCTCACCTCTCAATACCTTCGAAGATTTCGACCTGTAGTGTTCATGTATACAGTTTTTGCTACTTTTTTAGTACTTTATATAATATTTGTATAACAGCAAGTTGTTATTGTTTGCGGTCTCTCTATATGGACCGATTAACGGGGGAAGTGATCTTCTGTATTTGTATTTTACCTATTTTATTAACTATGCTTGTTTGTCTTTTGATTCTCCACAGTTCTCATCTATTGTTCAAATATTGAATAATTGTCTTGGTGCTTAAACCTCACATTTAGTGGAATGAACGATTTGTTTCGTTCGTCTCAACTCACTGTACCCTTTACATTCCACTTCTTCTCCCGCTGTCAGGCCATATTCATGATGTTAAAGCGCCAATCGTTGCAATTTACGTCTTGTATGTGCATAGATGTAAATTGTTATTACTATCTTCGCTATGATTTCGAAAATGATGAAGTTACAGCAGTACCAACAGAAATGAGGAGTTCCGTGTGTTCTGACCCCAAACCGCACGAATGACACTTGCACGAATGACTGCTACCCAGTTCATCCGGGATATTTTCTTACAGTTGGAAGCCGTTGGCAGAATGGCTGGCATAGGAACGGACTCGCGCCTGGGTCTCATATCTTCGCCATCAGGGAACTCGAATTGGCCTTCGAATATCCTGATGGCATAGATAAGTTGTGAGGGAATCCTACCATGAGATTCAAGGTGTTAACAAGTGGCCAGCCAGCCTTTGACTCGAAATTCATTGCTGAAAAGTATAAACGGCAAATGATTGAGCCTGTTTAGTTGGGAGAAAGATCAGCTATTGGAATGCCTTAAACACCTGGTAAACAAGGATCGCACCTCGCAGGGTAGCCATAATTGGAGCAGGTCTGCACCATCAATCAAGTAAAGGTGGATCTACAAAGGGGGATGGCGATGCTATGTCCATGTCGGTTGATAAGCTTTTGGTTTCATACCTCGATGTACTTCCTTTGTTACCATTACAGTCCAATATGAATTTCTCACGAGCCTAATCTACAAATGCCACAGAATGCAAATGGACTGAAGCGGATCGCAGAAGTTGAAGTGGGTGGCCTATACGACTCTACACATTGGGTGAAGTGGCTAGGAAAGTCCCAAAAATCCCTCATGGACCTAGACTGGACAATGGACTCGAGTGTGATCGCGTGATATCTTGAGTACTTAAGTTCTGACCGAAAGGGTATCATCATGGTCTGCTAGGTCGAGAACTAATCGCTCATCTGTCTTTGCACAGATGACTTATGGCGTTGAAGTGCCATTCTTCTCCCAAGTGCTAGCCCTCAAAGGGCGAGTTGCGTATAATCTACTTTGGTAAGATATAAAGAAGCACAATACGTAGAAATATTAGATAGAAATGCCATTGTTTGATAGCCATTAAAAGGGTTAGCCTTGAAAGAATGTAGAGTGAAAAAACGAGAGTGAATCGGCCAAGGTCCCATTGGTTTAATGGACGATGGTCTCTGGGCAGGTGGAGATGTGGGCAATGCAATGGCTGAAATATTGCTTATTCGTTAAACCTCTAATCGGGTGCAATCATTGAGCCCTTCACACCCTACACCTTCGATTTTTCCTTTATCGCCATTTGGGCTGTCTGAAACATCGTAAAGAGGTTAAGTATGCGGCGGTTTTGTAAAAGCCCTCAAGTGGAAAACATCGNAAAAAAAAAATGGTGCCCGTTCCACAAGCAATTGAATTGCATTGAATTGAGTTTGAGTTCATGCATATTCGACATCAAACTGCGGAGAACTAAGTTCGAGACTGCTGGGTTTAGTATGAGTCTCCAGTTGCCATGGCCGTGAAACAAGGTCAGTGGTCCATGGTAGGACCCTTTTTTCCCCTTGTGCTAACAAGGGAAGGTGCTGGCGCGACAAACCGACCCAGTGTCAAACGCGTGGAAGACACAGGTATGTGTAGTCCGTAGTACCTTGCTCAGCTACACTTGGTTTTCGAGCAGTACGTCTAATGAAAGTACCTTTGGTCACCAAGCACTCATCGCGAAAGGACCGTCAATGCCCCTTTTCTGACGCAATTAGGCACCAATTGACACGAATGCTGTGTAAAACAGCTGTGCATAAAACAGCTGTTTATGAGTCTGATCTATGGGGATTAATGCCCATTAATGGTGTAATGATCTCTCCTTTCACTAGATCACCGAAACAATTACGCACAAAAAAGCGCGTCGTTACAAGATGGAACCCCGATGAGGAGTATGGGAAAGCTTTTTTTATAGCAATTTCTCAAGCAACAGAAATTAGTGGAAATCCCCGTCCATTTTATCTTTGAAACTCCTGCATAACTCCTTTTCCATTGCGAGCTTAATGGAAGAATGAGTGTTGAGGTACTTCTGTTAATGCTGGAAAGGACGTACTTCACAACGTAGTCATGACGACGAAAATTAGCCTTTCCCCACATCAGTTAGGCATTGCATTACCCGAACTGATTGTTCGCTTCATTATCGCTTATCTGTGGGTGTTATTCACTTTATATCATACCTCCTACTCTTGATTTCATCACCAACCACTTGTATTTACCTCGGAAGAGTATCGCTACTACCTACAGAATATTCGGAATCAATTTAGCAGTTTAACAAGTATAGTGTACCGAGCATGAAAAAAGCGCTATCTTCGACCTAACAAAGTCAAAGTGTTTGTATGAATTGAAAAATTATCCATTGCTTTCGTTCAGTGCAAGAAATTGTACAGTGGAGTAATAGCTCTGACTGAAATATGCCAAGGCTTGTCTGATAGTACCACTCTTCCCGAAGTGGAATATCGTGAGCATTTCCAAAAGTGGCGTTGTACGTGTGAGTGTTGATAATTTATGGCCTCCAGTGCAAGGGATAAGAGCACGGCACCCGGATAACACAAGTACGGGGTCGAGTCTCGTAAGAAAACGAAGTTTTGTCCATAACTCGCCAATCTTGTGAGACATCGATCTAATCAGTTGAAGGCCATGTTGTCAGGCTTAAGCAACGTGCACTGCTTCATGAAAGGTCGTCAAGTGCACAGCAAAGGCCATCTCTGGCTGGGCCCTGACGGGTTTTGATTCATAACCCTTGATAACGGGCCTTCGGAGTACGTTTGGCACTACGACTTTGTAAGTGCTTTCGAACTTAAAGCTAGGTTTCAAGGCCGGTCGCAAACTACCCTTATCAATACGAACGGCTGAGCTCTCCTTTGTTCAGAAGAGAAAAGGAATGAAAGATTTTCGGAGTCAGAGGTTGATGTCGCTATAAACAGTGTAAGCGGAACTTCCAACTAAGCCGTTCAAATGGCCTGGATATGTTGATTATTCGAAATTCGCTACTCAATACATGTAGTATTTGCCTGAAATTCATCCGCTTACTCACAAGGGAAGGATCCAAGTTGAAGGGGCCGTTTGAAATGGGGCCAATACTTTTAGGCGTGTTTTCGGATTCTGCCCTCGTAACTTCAATCAGAGCACTCTGGGAAGCAGATTTGAGATCAGCATTTGAAAAACGTCTAGAGTTGTAGGTCTCATTTTATACGGCCACACCGACTTGGGATCCTTCTCTGATTAGCTTTATCGTTCAATATCTACACCTGCTAGTCGCCTATACCACTTGCTACTGCCCGCTCCCTGAACTCTCCAAATATCAAGAGTTGTCCTATTTTTCAGGGGTGCTGAGTCTCACGTTACGTTCACGTCGTCCTTTCAAAGGCACAAGGAAAAATAAATCACTCTTTGTGGTGGGGGATTGATTCATTGTGAGCTGCATTTTGCATTGATTCATTGGTGGCATTCGGAAATCATAGTGGTGGACATTCAAAAGGCAGAAATGGAAGGGAACGAAAAAGAACATTCATGGGCCTGACAACATATTTCATTCCTAAATAAATCTTTAAAAAGTAAGGCCAAGAGCGGTTACAGTCTTAACAATGGCAGCATGTGAGATCATTTGTTGTAGGAGTGATGTAAGGGGGTGGGTGAACAGTTAGCGGAAAACAAGGCGAAGGAAGGGGTTATTGTCTCAAAATCGTTTTATAGGTGCTTCTCTTAAGCCCTAATGTCGTAGATGAAGGCCTGGACCTGTCAAAATCGGCGATAAGGGAAATCCTAATTGATCCTTATATGGGTACGCTCTATTGCACATGCGTCTACAATACTCGGTCGACTAGTGGCGAGACTATAAAGCAAGGACTGAGAGGCTCGCTGATAGTAAGTTGGATATGGTATACTGAACTTGTAGTACTCCTACCTCTGCCTTTTAATTCGAAATCACGATTAGCTGATTACTGTAATTAGTGCTCGTTATGAATCTCATACATGAGTCTTTCGAAAGGAAACGAAGGGATCGAAAGGAAAGGAAAGGAGGTTTAGCTTATCTAAATCCTACCGTGATTCTCCCCACTCTAACCGCAAAAAACATCAGCCAATAGTGATGGCAGGTCATATTATTGGAAAGGAATACTAATACTCGACCAGGCATTACTCTTCACTTTTTGAATATCAAGGTTACTGAACTCATTGAAAGCTGGAATGAACGAGGAGTGCGGAAAAGAGATAACCTTAAAATGTGTGTAGGTTCTATGTTATATACATAGGGCCTTTGCATAGCTTGATGCTCTATTTTCTATGGTGGTGCTTCTGAATAGGTTGGTATACCCAGATATGTAGCTGCATAGGCCTCTGGGCTTAGTGGCTTCGTCCACTTCCGAATGCCTATTAGGATTTGATCGTTTTCGGGCATTATTCGGCCTTTTGTGTGGAGCTAGTGAAGCTGATGTAGTGGCAATCGCTTCATGGGAATCGGGTCCTTGATTGTTATTTACTCATGCTTATAAAGTCTTCCATGTTCTTGGAGTAGGTTCAGCTGTACTTCCGAGTACAATCACTCGTCTGGGGGAGATAAGTACTGATTTGTACATCAGTTGGCACCACCCTTTACCGTATGGGCCACAAATATCATCGCTACGTTTCATAATGGAAGTCGAGTGAGGGGCTAACCCCGAAACGGGATCAATTAACGTCGATGACTAACACTCAGAAAGGTTCAGAGATGGAAATTTTGAGTTGCAGTTTTACTTGCCTAGAAATCGAATAACTCAGCGGAGTATCCCTTTGGGACAGGATAATTGGTAGCTGAAAAACTAATTTGTCTGAGGTGAAAGGTATAGTCAGGTTAGCGCCCGCGAACTCTCGGAGGCTACTATTCAAGTCCCCATTCTAATGGTAATAGGGATCTGTAAACCTATTTTTACTTTGTCGTTGGTCTGGAAGGCCGACATCTATCTCTGCTCTCTCATGGTTTTAGGCTGTCTGTATATGTTCATTCATTCCAGCAATCCAATTCGGAGTAGTATTGCCCTTCATATAGTTATGTAAGAGTTGTTCAGACATGTCCATAAGTACATCTACTATGTAGTAACTACAGCGACTACTAATACATTCATAAGATAATAATTCGTTGCTAGGCAAAGTCATTTATCTATAACTATCCACTAACGGGATATCTCTTCCGAAGCTATTTGGACATGACGAGAATGTCAGAACTTAAGCATCTGCACATTTGCGGTCCATCTGAAAACAAATCTATTCGCTCAACGTTGAAAATGCACTTTCCCAGATGAAATTGCTGATAATTTCTCCAGACGCGCTTTGACTGTTGAATATTATCGGATATATAAGGGCGACAAATGGGTTTCACCATAAGGGCAAAGGATTTGTTGTTAAGGATAAAACATAATCTGATCGTTGCTTTCTAAGAGTGCTAGAAAACACAGTAGCCAAAGATTGATGAAAATGTAGCCTATATGAGCTGTGCCCATATCCTTCTTCAACGTATTTCCTCGCTCTTCTCTTTGAAGTATGATTGCACCCTTCAAGTCCTTTACTTCCAATTTTTACTTTCAACTACAACTCCTTCAAATCCGGCAATCACGCTGTGCATGTGGGCTGTTTTGTCTTGCTCACTATCTCAATTTGATTGCGCTTAGAAGCCCTGGAGAATCTTGATAACCATAGTGTATTCTATTTCCAGCTATTCCGCCACTATCTCCTTTCTTCTTTCTTCTCTCGAATTTATAGCCATTATTAGTTTCCCCTCTGAGATGCCCCCTCTCGACTTTTAAAATTAGATGATTTATTAGTCTGAAATTCAGTAAGATGAGAAATGTAGAAAACCCTGAAGGATTTGCGTACTCTTTCGAGCGGGAATACTGTGAAGAAGAGGCAATCCTGAAGGTAGCCTCGGCTGCAGACGGATTACCCTGTTACACATTCAATTGTAGGATAAGAAAAAAAGGGAATATTCGATGCAGTAGTTAGGCTCTCGTTTAACAATTCATATTATGTTTCATAGAGCATTTACAGATAGAAAGAAAAAGTTGGTTCTAATGAGGAATAAGAAACTGAGTGAAAGCTCTATGGCGAGCTAGAAACGAGACTACTGAACTGTTCATCCTTTCAATTTGATGTTTGAAAGATGGTCAACGGGGGAAGCTATAGCAGATTCGTATACTAGCAAGAATCAAAGTCAGTTGTCCATTCTCTTGCTTCAATGGAACAAAGCGTTTGGATGAGAACCCATTTACTTCGGTTCCAGGCTTGCTCTTATAAAGAAACCACCGCGGATATCAGCTGATCATTTCTGTTGATTATGCATGTGTTATAGAATTGGAGAGCAGTAGAAAGGAGAGAAATGGTTGCAAAGGCCGTTTAAACTTCGATGACCATTTCGAAGGGGATAAAACTCACGAGTTCTATGAAATTCGAAATTTTTCGCTGTTAAAACAAACTCATGGAAGAAAAGTTCTTTTGGTCACGATAATTTTGGGATATCTAGTTCCAGTTGAACGAATAGTTGAAGTAGTAGTCCAGAACAGTACAAAAGTGACGACTGGATTAATTGGACGAGCTGTTCAAAGGTTCGCGCTATGCATACAGCTGGCTTTAGTAAGCCACCTGCGGGTGATATGCGGGTCCCGGTGCGACTGGCGCAATCTATGCAGCTTCCACAACACTACCAGCTCTTCCATCTCGGTATGTACGTTTGCTGGTTTTGGGCCCTAATATCCCTATCTTGACCGTTTTTTGACCCGACAGCGTCCCTTGGCTATCCTTGGAGTTCATAAGTTCGTCCGAGGAAAAAATCTCAGACAGAATTTTTTCACGTGAATTGTGCCTTCAATGCAACTGAATTAAATGTCAGTTAAAATTTTTTTGTGAAGTAGGAAAAAAACATCCTCATAGAAGGATCTCTAGAATTTTGTACGAGTGCAATAGTTCAAGAATAAATCATTTTAGTAACATAGCAAGGTGCCCAGGTGGGCGCAGTGCTCTCCTTTGACCTTTCCATCCCATTGAAAGCTTCTCTGTCACACCTATCAAAGAATAAGTTATTGAAAGAGGTATTACACGAACGCTCTAAAAACTATTATCTTAAAATATTGCCAGACTATTCGCAGAAACGCTCAGTTAAGGTTTAAATGTTCAGCTCCTGTCTGCAATCCAATCCTCATTTGCACGGGAGATGTTTGAGCTATTAGGATACTTTGTAGCTAGGATATTCAAAATGTCATCTCATTCTCAGAACCTATTTTCATAATTATTTATTCAATTTTCACTCATTTTTTGCTTTGCTTTTCAGCAAGATAATTGATATTGAATGTCTACAAAGGGATTTCCCATTTTCTAATTTTCTTCGAATTCGCAGTATTAACGTTCCGTCATAACAGATAATGAGAGCACCTGCCCTTTTTAAAGCCTATTTTGTCTCAGCAAACAATCCAGATGTCATCATTTCAGCTACTGCAACGTCCTATGAGCCGATGCCGGCTGCTGCGTTCAATGGACTGAAGGAGTCAGCAAGTACGAATCCTGTGAATCACATTGAAGCATCTCTATGTCGCGTTTGTGAACGTATTTACGACGGTTCTCAGCACTTCGGCATTGAGGTATTTCTGTCTGTTTTTGAAAAGTTGGTGATGAAAAGCTAAAGTAGGGAATCAGAACGTATGTAGTGAATCTTCTTCAGTAATAGGTCAGGATCTTCTTCTCGGGGTCTTCGTGAGGGCAAGGGCGGCGTGCCGATCCCCTCGAAAGTAAGTTTCTCGGAAATTCACGTTACAAAAAACTTTTACATCAGTTTTTCTACTTTCGCTCTTATACAAGTGTAATCCATATGACGCCGACCTATGACGATCAGCTCTGGATAATGAAGATTCTCGATCATATGAGTCATCAAGGGCTTTCAGGATCGTTCTGCGAATATATACAACAATTTGCTTTTTTAGGTCCTCTCAAAGTTCTATGACGGCTCAAATACTCCAATGTGAGAGATAAAAGATAACATCGTCGATTCGGAGATTTAGAGACTTACAAAGCGAGATAAAATGGATAAATTAGACCCGAGAAGCGATCTAGGGTGTATACCCGTTGCCATTGGACAAGTACTGATGAGATAGGCTGTTTTCATAGTCTGCGATCCGGCCCGCTAGCGCACCGGCCGGGAGACCACTCGGCCGGTGGGATCGACCGAGATTCAGTTGCAAACAAGGGGCAACCGCCGCCCCCGGCCGGCGCTACGCTCGCGGGCCGGATCGCGGACTATGAAGGCAGCTATACGACTTAATTCAAATTTTTTAATATGCGATGAGCACTTTTGATCAGGGGATCGGGATGTAGATTTTTGTAAGAAACCGAAATATAAATGTCGAACAATGACGGACTCGGAAAAAAAAAATAAAAATCAAAAAAAGAATCTCTTCCCTTCGAAAAAGAAAGTCTTCGAAGAGCCGTCAATGTAGAGAGGTCCTCGCAAACCACTTAATAGCTTCATAGGTTTCTGTTTAGGTTTGTCGAGCATGTGCAGCGTTTTTTCGTCGATCAATCGAAGGCCGCAAGAAGTTCATTTGTCGTAGAGGAGCTAACCGCTGTCAACTGAATGGTTAGTAATTGTTATTTGTAATACTGGAAGGTTATGCTCTATGCGAGAGACCCATTTCGGTAGAACAAGTGGCACTTATGCTCTGTCCTTGTGGGCTAGTACGAAGACGGGGAGATGGACCCATAGAAGGAGTCGCACGGAATTTTGTGTGGCTTTGTCGGGAATTCACAGTGTTTCGTCCAGTGATTCGGGAAAGCCTATGAGATCTGAATGATAATTACGGCTTATCCGGGTTTGAGGC